TTTTTCATATGAGTGTCGATCACTCAAATTTCATAGTAAAAAATTTATTCACCTGATCTGCGTGACATCTCGGTCGATTGATATGTACGTACGTACGTTGTGACCGTGAAAAATGGTACGTACGTCTAAATAATAAGTTTCACCGTCAAAAAAACAACCAAAAATGAAGACTACTCGAAAGAGGGCGTGGAAGATTTAGTCTAAGAACCAAGGATCCTACTGCCATTAGGATCCATGGGTTAGATGGTCTTTATTTAATTATGATTCTTATTTACCTATTATCTATCTGCTCCCGTTACATAAATCAAGGTGCTATTATACATTATGAACATTGGGGCTTTGCTACTACGACTAAGATCATTATAAGTAATATAACTATTTAGAGTATCGGTGACTAACGATAAGCAATTCATACTCATTGTTCTCAATGGAGCATCACCTCAAGCCAAACCCGAATTAGTATTATTAAATGCCTTCGCTTTGTCATTCAATCAAGTGGCTTGAATCATATTTTTCATAACTGTGGCTAGATTACATTTCACCGTATATATAGGTATGTATGTACATTGTAAAAGTTCGATTAATGAACTGGTTTTGGATAATACAACTATACTCTGCTAAAACCAACTAAACTACTCTAACCAGAATATTACAACTAATAAAACCAAACCCCCAGTAGTGGTAAGGCAATGATCGAGGCGTAGAAGACTTGGTTCAAATAACTAGCGTTAATTAGGTTTTTAGCGATAGTATCAGATTAGAGCTCTTGATTATGTCACGAATCCCTTTACTCAGAATCACGGGATTTGGTCACAAGTTCCTTTCATTATTACAGATTTTACTTATTGGGGGATTAGTAGAACAACACTTCTACTTAAAAAACTTACTACTCACAAGTTAAATATTCTAATTTCTTTAACTTGAAACTTTGAACTCCACTGAGTTTTTTTTATTCAAGATATGCTTCAAACTTTTTATATACATGTTTTGTTACTATCAATTGCTTTCTAACATTTCTACTCTATCTATTATATAGAGTTGATATGTTATATCTGCTTGATATAATATATCTATCATATGATATATCTGCTATATTTAGCAAGATAGTAAGTATATCTGGTATATTCAGTAGGTAGGACCAAGACCAATTTTAGACAAACCGACCCAAGCCATCTTAGTATCGATTTATCTGTTTACAGAAAATTTAACCTAGTAGTATGAAGATAAATGATTAATCAAAAAATTTGAAATTCTTAAGAAATAATATGCCAAATATACTTAATTGTAATTATTCCATATAGATTACTAAAATTTAAAATAAGAATTACTAAGCTTGTCTTTGATAGTTGATATTTATTCTATATAAATACAGTCAATCCTCTCTAAATGCATGACGTTGGGACCATAGTAAAAAATTGAGAAAATATGCATTTAAAGAGGTTATGCATTTAGGAAAGTAAAAATCTATAAGTGTTATATTAGTTGGGCCCAAGAAAAAACATGCATTTGGGAGGTTTTCATATATATGCATTTAGGGAGGTTGCATTTAGGGAGTTCTGACTATATATATATTTATGATGTAGTATCTAATTTCTCATGCATTGGTACTAAATTTAATATATTTGTGTTAATGAAATTGTGAATCACTTACAAGTTTTAGATTGATTTAATAATAAAACATATTATTTGATAAATGCTTGCCGAATTTTGCTTAGTAAAAAATAAATTTAAATGTTCATTAATAATTAATAATAAAACATTAATATGATGAAAATAAGGTTTTAAACAACAATTATTTATTTAAATTATATATACGCACTAGTTTGATTTAGACTAGTAAGAGCAAAGATAATAATTGTATAAAAAAGCTAGAGATGTTAATATTTTACTTGTTACTTAAAGTATTAGAAGGCGATTAAACTTATTAAAATCATTTTTATAACTTTAAAATAAATACAATGTCCGAAAAAGAAAAAACTAAAAAAAAATCATCACTTATTACTCCCTTTAGCATTGCTGCCAAAGGGAATAAACAACAAACTATAAATAGTAGTTCTGAGGATTATTCAAGTGATGAATTTGAAACTTCAGAACCTTCAAATAATAATAATAATCCTCGTAATCTTAAAGTACCACATTTGTCTAAAGAATCTTTAAAATAGGATTCAAGCTGGCCTAAAAAATTTCCATGGGTATATCATGGAGTGGGTGCTCAAGCAAATCTTATGTTTTGCCGTTGGTGTCAAGAAGCAGGCAAACAGAACAGTTTTACCTCTGGTTGCACATATTTTAAATTACAATCTCTAACTCGACATATTAATAACAAAGATCACCAGTCTATTATTGCAGCTTGATCAATAGAAGCTTAAACAGATATCTGAACTTCTTTTGTAATTCAAGCTGGAATAGATAAACAACAAATTATATATAATATGCGAAATGTATATTTTTTAATTAAACATAATTTAGCAATAAGGATATATGAGGATTTGTACAAATTAATAAAAATCCAATATAATAGTTATCAAGATGAATTTAGTGTTGAGTCTAATACATTATCTTTTACAAATGACCAGCTTCTAAATAATGATAACTTGCAGGCACCATATGCTAGCTATACAAATGATAAAGCAGCTCATAGATTTATTAAAGCAATTGAACGTGTAATTGAACAATCAACTTTTAAAGAATTGTGTGCATCTAAAAGTTAGGGTATAATGTTAGATGAAAGCACCACTATATCTACTAAAAAAATATTAGCTATAGTTTCTAAACATTTACTTAGACCTAGAAAACCTATTTACCAATTTCTTGATATGATTTCTCTTACTAAACAAACATCTGATACTATAATGGCAGATCTCAATTGCTTTATTCAAGCAAAAAATATCTCTTATAATAATCTATATCATATTTGTACAGATGGAGCAAGTA